CACCCCCCCCCCCCCCCCCACTTACTACATTTTATACAAAGTAAGGATGTAATAGTATAGTCAGTTAACCAATAAGCAAAAACTTATAAGTTAATGATATAGACTACATGCATTTCCCTCCCCCCACCCTTGCCAGTAAATTTTTTAGCAGGCTGGCCAGCAACCTGGCTCAGTTCTGGCTTGTACTAGGTCCAGAACCTCACCCCCCCCCCCCCCCCCACTTACTACATTTTATACAAAGTAAGGATGTAATAGTATAGTCAGTTAACCAATAAGCAAAAACTTATAAGTTAATGATATAGACTACATGCATTTCCCTCCCCCCACCCTTGCCAGTAAATTTTTTAGCAGGCTGGCCAGCAACCTGGCTCAGTTCTGGCTTGTACTAGGTCCAGAACCTACTCCTGCTGAGGCTCTGCATTTAAAGCGTATTAGGAGCCAGGCCAGCAGGCAGTCTAGCTTAGTTCTGGCTCGTGTTGGGTCCGGGAGCTCAGACCCACCTTACACAGGGGCTGCTGGCTCTTTATCAGAGGCGGCAGCACTGGGCAACAGGCAGCCGGTCCACAAAGGGAGCTGGTTTTTAAACTAGCTGCCCTCATTGATGAGCTCCCGTCTGATACCCTGCACTGCTGTGTCTGCCAACCCCGTCCCCGGGGACTATAGAATAGTTGACTAAGTGATAAGAATTCATGAGGTTACCCGACTATTCATTTAACCAATTTAACATCCCTAATACAGAGGCAGCAAGCAGGGGGAAAGCAAGTAGTCGACTTCACCACTTGCTTACATCCCTAATCCATGAATCTTGAAAGGCCTGTTGGGAGGGGTTTGATCGTTGTAGCAGGGAAGATACATCTGCATGTTTTGCATCTCTTCAGGCAGGGTCTGATGCTGCTTTTGAGTTAGTGTGTCCGGATCTGTTGGAAGTTTGCTTCTGAGGTGAGCTTGGCAAGGATGCAAGAGTTGTTTTGAAGGCCGAAAAACAGGAAAGGCTTGTTTCAACATGTGGTACCCATCAAATACGGGTTGTAATAATTTAATGATAACTCATTTGAGCTCCAGCATGGAGCAGTAGGGAACAACTAAGAACATGGAGTCAGTGAAGGTGTGTTTTCTCAATATTGAAATAGTTTCTCCTGATTTACATGGGTATTACTTTCCAGTGTGCAATCTGCTTTTCTGGTGGAGTGTCCTTGTTTAGTAAAAGTTTTAAGTTTGTTAAGGTATATCCTGGACTTTTTCTTTCAAGGTAGTATCTGAGTACCTGGCTGTAGGTACCATTTTCTTTGGTGTGCCTGGGTTGGCTACTGGATCTGTGGTGATATGTGGGTTTCATGTATACAGTCATTTGTAGGGTTTCATTGTTGCAGCTAATCCTAGTGTCCAGGAAGCTGATGCTGGTGTGGGAATGTTCTTCAGAGAGTTGAATAGATCAATGGTTGTTAAGTTTGTGGTGGAAGTCTATGGAGAAGTTTAAGTATTCTGTGCAGAGGATGAAAATATCATTGATGTTTCTCAGATATATTGGTTTGTTGTCATATGATGCATTTTTCCAGAAATTCTTCTTTGAGGTGTCCCATGAAGAAGTTGGCATATTGGGGAGCCATCTTGGTACCCATGGCTGTTCCCATAATTTGGACAACGTGTGGTTAAATGTAAAATTGTTGTAGGTGAGAATGAAACAGATGAGTTTGGCTGTGAGTAAGGTGGATTTTTTTCAAGCATTGTATGTGATCTTGTAGGTATTTGAGGCTAGCAGTGATGATGTCATGGTGAGGGATGTTGATGTACAGAGAAGAAACATCAGTGTGGCAAAGGTGATTTTTTTGACACGTTATTAGTGTTGCAGAGTTTCTGATGGAAGTCGGTGGTGCCTTGAAGCATAATTAAGTGTTGTTTTAGCAAATGTTACCATTACAAAATACTGATCTAATGATGCTTCATCCATGCAGTATCGGTGGTATTATGCCTATGCACTCCAGAGCATACTTCTGTGGGTCTTCTCTGTACCCTAGAATTCAGTAGGGCCATTTGATTCATGACTATAGATATGTTAGCAATTCAGCCTTTATGTCAGAGAAAACGTGTGCATGCATTCACATTAATTTCAGTAGAGCGGGTATACGAGAAATTTCTCCTTTAGACCTCACTGTTACAGGATTTGTACTTGATTTTACTCACGGGAAGGGGTATGGCGGCCTTAAAATTTTAAAAAATCATAAGTAATCACTAATTTTGCGATTATGTTGGGTTCCAAACTTCTCATACTGTTTGAATACTATTTATACACATTTTATATTTTGGGCGGGGGGATCTTTGCACTCACCATGGACAAACTTTGTCTGGAAATGTTTAAGTTTGGAGACTCTTAACATTATTTAAGTGTCTTAATTTTTTAAATTGAGAATTTTTATAGAAAAAGTGAAAGAAAATTTTAAACTGTGGGATATCCTACATTATGCTTCCTTCTAAATGCTTTGATGGGCATTTTTGGTTCCAGGACTGTTCTTTTGGGCTCAGTTTTTAGATTTGCAAGACGAGAGTAATAAATGTTTACATGTCTGAATATATTTTGTCTTTTGTCTTTGATGTTAGATAAATTATTTGAGAAACCGAGCTCGAAAGCACAATATCTATTTGAAAACTTTACCCATTGGATTTACAAAAAGAAGAGAAAATACAACCACATTCAATAAGAAGTAAGTTTTTAATTAATATGGGTTTTGGGGAACACCTCAGCAAAATCTTTGATTATGTCTAACTGGGAAAATAGCTGTTGAAAGGCTCCTTTGTAAGATTGCAAGGCCTTGTAGCATTTTTAATGACAAAATCACATTAGACAGTGATCAGCATTCCTGTAATATCTTTGGTAATACACTCAGATAGAAATATGTAGTAAATTCTGCAGCCAAATAGTATTCCACTCACTTAATAATTCGGCTTCTTCAGTGAAGATTTATTATACCGTAGGCTTCAGATGGGTTCCTTCTTTTATGCTTGGGCTAATGTTTCCTACGATCGTTAAGTAGTCCTTGATTGGCAGAGTTGGAAATCCAAGGACTAAAATGAGCAACATGGCATCATACTGTCCAGTATTTATGCTAGTCAATTAAATATTGTCATTATTGAACAATGCTACTCATTAAAACAGTGAGAGAGAGGTTTTTCCTTCTTTATAAATTAATGGGCTTTTACATGCATATATGTCTATAATAGAGGGACAAATAAGGATTTATTTAATGCTTTTATCAGAAAAAGATTTTAAATTTGTATTTCCATGCTAAGGACTTTTAATTCTTAATCTCTAGGGCTTCTAGCCATTTTGGCAATTTATGCTTTGTTCTGAAAGCTGTCTACTTAAACCAGCAGGGTATTATAATGATGAGCTCTGTATTTGTCGTACTTTGATAATCTCAATTAATGGAATAATTTGTTGATCAGATGTACTCTTGACTTTTTCACTGGGAGGTGGGGGTACATCTTTTTAAGGTGGAAGGGACTGCTGAATGTCTCCCTCCTGTGGAACGGAAGGATGTGGATTTAAGTCGGGGTTGTTCACAAAGTAAACATTTCCATATACAGGCAGTCCCCGACTTACGTGGATCCGACTTACGTCGGATCCCTAGATACGAACGGGGTGAGGCAACTCCCACACATGCGCAGCAGCATTCCCGGGGCTCGCTCACCTGGGTCCTAGGATCCTCCTCCTCCTCGGGCCGGCTCCGACTGGGGTCCCGCAGAGCTGCCGGGCAGAGGAAAAGTGCCTCCCCACGCCCGCTGCCCCCCCCACCCCCCTGCCAGCAACAGGCTGCTCCTCCCCTGAGCAACAGGCTTCCGGACAGACAAAAAAAGCCTCTCTGCC